CTAGAAATTCACTTATTATTTTGTTTCTTTATTTGATGATTATCCTGATAGCAAGCAACAATGTCGAAGATGTTAAGAGGGTAAAGGTTGAACTCCATATGGATGTTCGACATGAAGTATTTGGGAGTTGCTTCTAGAATTCCTTGAGATTGACATTCAGAGAGATTAAAAAGCAGTCGAGATTACAGTTATCTCAAGAGACATACCTGAAGAAGATTCTCGACAAGTTTTGCATATCGAATTCAAAGCATGTCCTAACACCGACTAATCCTCAGTACAAGCTGAGTATGACTCAAAGTCCTACAACTGAAGTCGAAAGAGCCTATATGAATAATATTTCATATGCTAGTATAGTAGGTTCTTTGATGTATGATATGGTTTGTACGAGGCCAGACATAGCGTACAAAGTAAGCCCTGTAAGCAAGTATATATGGCCAATTCTGGGAAGGCACACTGGAAAAACATTAAAGTGGATTCTTAAGTACATAAATGGGTCTTTGAGCTGAGTCCTGGTTTTATGGTGGAGCCTGTGGTGATGATAGCAAAATCGAAACCGAAAGGATTTGCCGACTCTGATTATGCAAGCCTGTATGGATTCTAGAAAATATATTTCTGCATATGTGTTCACTATGTTTGACACATTAATCAGTTGGAAAGCAACACTTCAGAAGGTTGTTGCCTCATCAACCACTGAAGCAGAGTATATCGTCCTCACTGAAGTTGTGAAAAGAAACATTGTGACTTGAAGGTTTTGCTAAGGAGTTGAAAACTTCAAGGTCGAGTTATCCCTGTTAAATGTGATAGCCAAATCGCAACACACCTTGGTGAAGAATTTAACCTATCATAAGCGAACCAAACACATCGATGTGAGGATGCACTTCGTCTGAGAGATAATCGAGCGTGGAGAAGTCCAAGTGCTGAAGGATTCGACTGGTGACAATGCCGCTGATATGATCACCAAGACATTGTCAAGTAGGAAGTTTTTTTCCACTGTATGCAGTTAATAAAGCTGCATGATGAAAACCAGTTTTGTTCCCCTATTATAGAGTTTGTTCTAAAGTGGAGATTTGTGGTATTTGGATCGACACTTTAAGTGTTAACAAGGGTAACTTCATGGTTCGACAGGAGTTGTATATGTTGTAGTCGAAGTTTGTTCGATCATAATGTCGAAATATAATAACTTATAATTTAAGTTAGTATGTCGAATTGAGCTTTGTTTCTAAGCCTAATTGTTAAGTTAGCTCGTATTTTAAGTTAACTTAATAGTTTATAAATAGACTAGTTCTCTCATGTTGTTGAGACGTATTAATTGTTGATATTCACTTGTAATCTTTGAATTCTTATTGAAAAAGTAAATAGAAAATATGTTTAACTAATTATTATTATTTTTCTTCCCTCTTTTTTCATTTTTGTAAAACTTAATAAATATTTTTTGTATTTATTCAAAAAAAAACTCAATATTTTTTCATATTTTTAATTTTTGCTTGACAAAATCAATTCATAATATATTATATAATATATATATATATATATATAATATATATATATATATATATTATATATATATATATATATATATATATATATATATATATATAATATATATATATATATATATATATATATATATATATATATATAATATATATATATATATATTATAAAAGTGATGTGAAAAAAAGCTGACAATATAGAGCTCAAATAACACAACTCTCTAGAATTTAGGAACGTAACATAGAATCAAGGCATCTTCCAGCTAAAAAAAACATAGAATCATGAGAGGAAAAAAAAAAAAAACCATATTTATTCTGAAATTTAATGATTTCATTTATGACATTACTGAATCCATTTTGATTTTCCTAAAATCGTCATACCCTAAAAGGAGTGAGTAATGAAAAGTAATAATACCCGTGAACCTAGAGCGAGAATTTAGCAAGTGATGAAAAAAACCATAAATAAATAAATAAATAACAAAAACTTCAACGTTGGAGAGAAACATAAATAATCGACCAAACATTTTCTCTCCCTCCATCTAACTTCCACACTGTTCCTTCAAACTCTTGTTTCGTTTCTCACCTATTAAACTATTTCTCTGTTTTTTCATTTTTATTTTTTCTTAAATAATAACAATAATAATTAATGCAACAACAACAACAAGGCTTGGATTCTCTGCGTCGCGACCACACTAAGCATGATTCCAACGCCGCTCCCAAACTTCCTCACGACGGTAAAACCTTCAGCCGTTCTGAGAATTCGCCACCACGGCCAACAATTCTAAGCCAGGTCATCGGAGATCGGCATCCACCGGATCTCCGTTGATATACTCCGGTGGAGTAAATAGTTTTGGTTCCAGTCCAACTTTACACACAACCGGAAACATATGTCCCTCCGGGAAGATCCTCAGACCGGGGTTTACCGTCTCCTGGACCGAACCGGACCGATGTTTTGGGTTTAGGAACGGTGAACTACGGCCATGGGAGTATAGTGCGTGTTGCATCGTCGGTGAAAAGCGGCGATGAGATGTTCTGATCCTGAGGAAGTGAAGAGAGGTTGGGAATGAGATGTATAGGAATGGGAAATTCGCGGAGGCTTTGGTGTTGTATGATCGTGCCGTTGCTTTGTCGCCGGGAAATGCTGTTTGCCGGAGTAATCGTGCGGCCGGCGCTTATGGAGCTGGGAAGGTTGAGTGAAGCAGTGATGGATTGTGAAGAGGCTGTGAAGTTGGATCCTGCTTATGCTAGGGCTCACAAGAGACTTGCTTCTCTTTATCTCCGGTAACATGAAATTGCAATTTGATTTGTTTGTATAGATTTTGGGGTTTCTGTTTATTTGTTTGTGTAGAATAGATATTGCATTGATGTGTTTGATAGAGGGGATTCAATTTCTGTTAGCTTATAGATTTTGCGACTTTCGGTAGCTTTGGACAGGTTGAGAATTCGCGGCGTCACCTGCATATTGTTGGTGTGCACGATGATCGATCGGGAAGAGAGTAATCTGTTATTGTTGGAACAGCATTTGAACCAGTGTGTGGTAGTGGCGAAGAATGGTGAATGGAAAAGGGGTAATCAGGATAGTAGATGATTGCTGTTGCGGTCGGAGCTGATTTCTGCCCACAGGTAGTTCTTTGTAGGTTATTCGATGATGAAATGAGACTGAATTTTCAGATTTCGTAATTGAATGTGTTGTTTTACTTGTTGGACTGTTACTTGCAGCTTGTGGCTTGTAAAGCGGAAGCTTATATGAAGCTTCGTCAGTTTGAGGATGCTAAGTCGTGTCTTTCGAAGATTCCTCAGTTGGAAGGTTGTCCTCCAGCGTGTTCTCAAGCCAAGTTCTTCGTATGGTAGGTGAAACCTTTGTGCATTTTGTCACGGCGCAGGTTGAGATGGCCTGGAAGGTAAAAAAATTCGAACACCAAACTTAAACCACATTGAGTTCGTGACTTTTTAGTCAATATATAGAAAATAAATGATGAATTGTTTCAGGTTTGAGAATGCTGTTTCTGCAGCTGAAAAGGCAAACGTATCATGTAATAATAATGTCGAGGTTACTAAGATTGTAATACCGTGAGAATGGTGGGCGAGGGGCGCGTTCAAGAGGCAATGATCTTTTCGATCTAGCAAATTTTCTGAAGCTTGTAAAGCTTATGGAGAAGGACTATTATATGACAATTCCAGCTATGTTCTATATTGCAATAGAGCTATTTGTTGGTATAAACTTGGGAAGTGGGAAATTCAGTTCAAGACTGCAACCAAGCGCTTAATATTTGTCCAAATTACACCAAGGCCCTTTCCCGCAGGGCCATGTCCAATGCAAAGGTGAACTAAACCTACGTGCAACGATCATATAAGGCGTGTTTTATGTAGGTTTCTAATATGCATAATTTTGTTGCAGCTTGAAAGATGGGCTGAAGTTGTTAGAGATTACCAGACCTTGAAACAGGAACTCCTAATGACAATGAAGTTACTGAAAATCTTGGTCAGGCTCTACTAGCATTAGAAAAATCTCGCAAAGTGGTAAATGGTAGTACGATGTTTGGACTCGAAGTTGAAGTTGAAGAAGTAACCAACGTTAGACAAATTCAAAGCAGCTATTGCTTTTGCTGGTAATCTCGTTACGTTTCTCTTCAACCATAAATACCAATTCATCATTCTTCTTGCTTCATTGATAGTACATACTTACTTTTCGACGAAAATATGAATTCTCGCAGGTGTTTCAGTGGTTCATTTCAAAGAGGAATCAAATGAACTCTCTGAAGAAATATCTCCATTCGTAAATACATTATGTGTTAGATATCCCTTTGTGAAATTTATCAAGGGTACATAATGAATGTCGAGTGTTTTTTATAAACTTACTAACATAATTATCGTATCTGTCTGATATCTTTAAATTTCAATTACAGGTGGACGTCGAGGAGTGTATAGCAATAGCAAAAGCAGAAAGCATAAAAATTGTTCCAACTTTTAAGATATACAAAAACGGAGAGAAGGTGAAGGAGATGATTCGCCCGAACCATAAATTCTTAGAGGACTCGATAAGGAAAAGTAATAGTCTATAGATGTTAGAATTCAATTCATACTCATTATTTATCCATTCACTAGCAATTGAAGAAGGTGCTCTAAAAGAATGCACCAAAACCCTTATTATTAGTTAAAACTATAGGAATTTCATCTTTCCATGAAAACATTGATACCAATTTTTGAGTTATTTTAAGCAGGAAAACCTGAGAGAGATAGCTGTTAGTTAGCATTTTGAAATCATTATGTATATATTTTACACTTGTTTCATTCAATGTATCAGACTCAAATTTGACCCTTTTCTCTTTATATATCTTTTGTTTTGTTGCATGAGGCTGAAGAAATTTGTTTAACACATTTGGTCTGCAAAATGAAGCAGATAAACTAACCTGTTATGTTCTCAGTGCATTATGACAAAATGTTGGTTGATGATTTTAATTTTTCTTTAAAAAAGCTGTTTCCCTTTTATTCCTTTCCTTTCATCGTGAATGTCCCCTTACACGTCATATTGTTTTCTTCAAAAACTATGTCAATACTTTGCCTGAGTAGTTTGCTAACAAAGCAGGTCAAGATGTTGACAAAGCATTTACAGGGAGGGAAGTATTAGACTTGTGGCAAGCACGAATAAGTTTTTACTAAAAAAATATAATTTTTTTGGATTATGATGTTGAATTCTATTGTTTTAATAATTGATTATATTATATCGTAAAAATAGAAAGAAAACATCAATTTGTTTAGGAAAATAAAAAATCATGAATAGACTCGAAAATTTGATCTAATGTAAGATGAAAACATCAATTTTACATAGTGACATGGTGATCATCGATGTCTAAGATATGTGTCAAGGTCTTTGGGGGAGGGGATCCTACCATATAAGAGATTATTGGATTTAAATTTGAGTAGTTAAATTTCACATCAATTAAAAATAGATAATATCTTAGATAAATAAATAAAAAATGACCGATAAATATATGGTACTAAAATTTTTAAGTCTTAAATATTAAGGCTATCGATATGCTCTCGTCTCCTATATTATAGGTAAAAAAATTGCCTAGAATATTTAGCAAATAACTTAAATAATAATATATATTCATATTGATATGAATATAATTTATTATGGAATGTTGATTTTCATGTGTTATCTTATTTCAAAACTACTTCGGAGTAGTTGCTCGATGTTTTGAAATACTCTAATTTGTCTATTTGATTGCGAATATTTAATGCAAGGTTGATAGGGGCGGCCTTAAGTAGGTTGAGGGTGGGTTGTCCCATGATAATGTTGTATTGTGAATGAACATCTATTGCGAGATATTTGGTCTTGATCGTCTTCGTATTCTCGCCCTCAATCCAAATGTTGTTTTGAGCATCTTTCACTTGCACAAGCTTGTCAGAGAGTCCAACCAAGAAACCTCAAAATGTTCAGATGTCATTTGGATCTAGCCAGAAGTTTCTCAAATTTGACTCAAAATAAGACGTCTATTGAGCTTTCAAGTTCAATCAATATCCACTTTATATTTCAATCGTCATATTACATTGTTATGACCATATGGTCGTTGTTGTGAGCATTGATGTTAATGGCGTCTCTACTAGAAAATACAGTTTTGGATTTTGACTCCTTCTCAAAGTTCGATTAAGGGTAGAAGAATGTGTTTTTTGTCCCTAGCAACTATCAAGCATACATTCAACGAGAAGAGTTTGGATTCTCCCTCTCCGACGAATACTTATGCTATGGTGAAGACAAATACGTCTATATGGTTAGACGTTGTGGTAGCTCGCTCCGCCACCATGTTGGAGAGGGTGACAGAGACAGTTGACGAATGGAAGATAAGTATGGCTCAGATCAGCTTTACCAGTGTCCTAAGATAGACACTAATTGTACTTGCTAAAAAATACAATGAGAGACAACTCTTAGTTTTGTAAGGTTTTTTCGAGAGTGTAGAGTATTTAACTACGTGAAGGTTAGCTCATATAGAGCTGTGACAAGCTCAATATATGATTTGAGAGAGAGAGAGAGAGAGAGAGAGAGAGAGAGAGAGGGAGAGAGAGAGAGAGAGAGAGAAGAGAGAGAGAGAGAGAGAGAGAGAGAGAGAGAGAGAGAGAGAGAGAGAGAGAGAGTCCATTTTCCCACGCTAAGTATATATATATATATATATATAATATATATATATATATATATATATATATATATATATATATATATATATATATATATAGAGAGAGAGAGAGAGAGAGAGAGAGAGAGAGAGAGAGAGAGAGAGAGAGAGATCTATTTTCCCGCCTATAAGTGTAGAGTATATATAAAAAGTTTCTTGGGCCGATAAGTAGAAGGGGCGGTTTCTTATCTTTTTGGTCAACAGTGGGAACATAGGAATACCTGGTTCTTTCTCGGATAACAGTGAACGATTTTCTCTTTGACTCATTCTTATCGTCAGATAGTGGTTATGGGGTCACCTTAGGCAAACTAAACCCAATTGGACGACCTATGGTCACATTATCAGACAACCTCTTCTCGTTTTGGGCGGCCTCTTTGCCCATTTTGATCTCGCTTAATCCTAAATCAATTAGTTGGCATCGTTTATTCATGAACCTTCATTCTTAGTACCTACTAAAATCATCTCAGTTATAAAAATATTGATTAAAACATTTTAAACTTTTTTTTAGAGTAATGTTATTCCTACACCTAAGTCATACACCAATACTTGCACCCAACACTGTTTTTTTAATTATAAAATATTTATAAATAAAAATTTAATAAAAAAATTTAAATTTACTTCTTAACACAAAGTATAATATTTGTTATTAACCAATTGCATTATTGTATTAACCATAAAAATACATGTTTTAGTCAGATATTTTTCTTATAGATCATTAACCAACTTTACTATTTCATTAATCAATAAAATATATAATATCAACCAAGTTCCGACAATAATTTATAATTTGGTAAATAAATTTTCAAATTTTCAAATAAATAAATAAATAATAAAATAAAATAGGTTAATATTATTCAAATACTAGTTTATAAAATTATTTAAATATTAACCATTTTTATTTTATTATTTTTTATTTTTATTTTTATTTTTAATTTTTTTAATCAAATTACAAATTAATGTCTAAATTTGGTTAATATTATATTATTTTATTGATCAATAAAGCAGTGAAGTTGATTAATAAATTATAACTAAAATATGTAATTAATAATATATATTAGGTGATTAATACGTGATGACAAGTTTTTTATTTGTGTTACGAAATTATTTATAAAAATATAATATTTTAAATAAATATTTTTATAAATATTTTTTTATAAAAAACACATGTTCATAGTATAAAATCGTGAATCGTGTTTGATGTAAGTATTGATATAGAAAATTAGTGTAAGAAGATCATTACCTCCTTTTTTTAATAGTAGATGAATAACTAAAAATCAATATATATGATCGTACCTGATTAGAAGAGGATTGTTGACCGCCGCGCGT